AAAAAGAGTCAAAATTGTCAATCTGAAGCAAATTATGCACGTGAAAATAAACGTTATTTAATACCGTTAAAAATTCACACAGATTATAAGCCAAATGGTTGGTTAGGACTTCTCGTAGCTGGGTTAAATTACATAGAATTTGCTGGGAAAGAGTTTAACGATGCATATGATGATTTATTGGAACAAATTCAACTGCATCGAAAAGCTGCTAAAGCAGTATGTCCAAAGTCAAATCGCATCACAACAACAGTGAAGTCTCCTAGAGCAGTAGATCAAAATTTAGATCACGTCATAGCAACAGTGAAGTCTCCTATAACAGTAGACCCAAAGTTAAATCGCACCACAACAACAGTGAAGTCTCCTACAGCAGTAGATCCAAATTTAGACCACATCACAACGACAGTGAAGTCTCCTATAACAGTAGATCCAAAGTCAAATCGCACCACAACAACAGTGAAGTCTCCTAGAGCAGTAGATCAAAATTTAGATCACATCACAACAACAAAGGAACCCCCTTCTTATTCACGACGCGGTATTAAGTCATGGACAGAGAAAGATGTTCGAGACTTTTTAACAGATAAACACTTCGAAATAATGATTCCATTATGTCAAAATAAGGATGGATCCGAATTGTATGAAATGTATAAAAGGTATGACAAGAATATTTTAGTTACATGTAAAGAATTAAACCGTCAATTAGAACGAACACACTACGAAGTTTTATTACCAATTGATTATAATCAATTTTTTAGTGAATTACAATTGTATGTACCAGTAACTTCTCCTATTCCATCGAGCGTCTGTGTCATAATGTGACGAAATATATATTCTCCATAAAAAAATTTCTATTTGTTTCTTCCTATCAAATTACTTCTACATTTCTAGAGACCTAGCATGAGAAAACCGGCCATCACAGTCACAGTAAGAACTTTAAACAGATAAAATCGTTAAATTTAGATAGAACTCCGAATATATGTCTAGTGGCTTCTACAAACTCGAAGAACTATTTTAATTCAAAACTCCCCATCGACCGTGCTCACAAATATCACCATGGAAGAAGTAAAAAATGTCGGCATGGATTCGGGAGTGGGACTCTCAACAGTTTGATGTTTCGACCAAAACCAAGCTCAGCATCCATCGCTTTTTCCAAAACTATACGAGTTAGTTCTATTAAATTCATACAACTAATAAACATTAGTTGAAAAGAAAAGTGAATTTTTCATCATAATTAGCGAAAAATAAGAAAGATACAAAGAAAGACTGTTTACGACTCTTTTATTTTCGCAATTCCTAATCAAGAATACGTCTAAAGGGCTAGCAATTCACAAAGTAGATAGAGTTCAAAATTCTCCACAAGATAATATAGTTTTTAATTAAAAAGCCAAAACTTTGCTGTTGAGAAAAGTTCTTTTACTTTCTGGCACCAATTCTCTATAGACTGTCCAGAATTATTCCAACGAGACATACTGTCTGTCCAGAATTTCTCTACGTCATTATTTGAAAAATCAACAACTATACTACCACATGAAATGCTTAAAGTCTACACTAAAAAACATTGAAATATACGTGAAATTAAGATATTGTTGATTTTTTATCTTTAGGCATTTTTATTAATCAGCTGAATCAATCTTTCTTTTCTTTTTGTTTGTTTCAACGAGCTAACAAAATACATTTTGCATCATAAGTCAAGAAGGGTATGGCAACTTCGAACCACTGTCGTTTTCTATACCTTTTTGTTCAATTGGGCATCTTAAGAAAGGTGCTGAGATGCAGGTGCTCGATTGGTTAGTAGAGCTTCTTTTAAGTGATACTACATTTAAGCGATCTTTCAAAAGCTCATCTTCGGCGTTTTAAATTGAAAGATTGCCTGAATATGAAGCTTTCACGGATATTGTTTTTAAAATGAGGCCTTTTTGAAAGTTATCGATCTATTTTTGACACAATTCTAAGCTTTTTACGAGAAATTCTGCTTTTATGCTACTTTTCCGGACACTATTTCACAGAATGCAAAATGAAGGTTTTCTAGCGATCAAACTTTGCGTACATGACGATTCCTGCCCTCAAATTTCATTCGATTGGGAAAACGTTTTTACTCTAAATACTAGATGGCAAATACTTGATTCTTATTAAATAGAAAATAAGATCAGACTACAATAAGTATAAATATGCGTACTATACTTGGGAGTTGAAAAATATCATAAAAAAACTTAATATCGTTCTTAACTCTGGCCCCCATGTCGGAACAATTCAAAGGTTCTGTAGGAAAAAGATTGCGTACGACTTTAAAAGCATTTAACAGAGCGCCAACTTATCTCTGGTATTAAACAAAAATAGAAATTACGATGAATTTTGACATACCATCAGGCGTTTAGCCAAGTCATACTTGTGTAATCCAAAAACAAAATAACATCTTTTTCTTTCTTTTATCTGGTTGAATAGCTGGTAGCTCCTCGTCGAGCCATATAGGAAAAAATCGACTTTAGTTTTCCACCTAAACTGGAAAAAAGCGCAAAGTTTCTATATTTCTCGTTCTTTTTACGTACTCCGACTGTTCTTTTGGATTTCTCGCACAAAATTAAGTGTAGAAAATTGCCCATTTGACTACTGTGAAAATGAAAATGACGATTGCGGGCAAAAAAACTCGATTGGAAATGAAAATATCATCATGTCAATATTGCAAATAGGTATGGAACAGTTACAGTGCTGTCCAGAAGTGGAACGCATAGGAATTGTTGGAAAAAAATTTCGAAATGAATTCAAAAGAGTTTTTAAATTCTATCGAAGAAAATGCACATAAAAATTCAAAGGTCTTGTAATAGGAACGCTTTTTGAGGCTGGAATTTACGGGCTGTAAGTAATTGATTATGGAATTCCTAGCCGGACTGCTCCTGTGATTCATACAACTCACCGATGATCTCTGTGAACGACTGGCTCCAGTTAGAGATGCGTAAAAAGTTCAAAAACCAGTAGAAATTCAGAAGGTTTCATTGAGGTCATTAGTGAGTTATATGAATCACAGGAGCAGTCCGGCTAGGAATTCCATAATCAACTACTTATAGCCCATAAATTCGAGCTTCAAAAAGCGTTACTATTACAAGATCTTTGAATTTTTACGTGCATTTTCTTCGATAGAATTTAAAAATTCTTTTGAATTCATTTCGAAATTTTTTTCCAACAGTTCTTGATAGCTCGCGTTCCTGACAGTTTCGATTCCTACAGTTAAAAATGAAACTTGTGCATTCCTAATTACAAATCTAGTCTCAGGTTTTTGCAGGAAAATTTCTTCCTTTAATGCATCTTAACTGTGATACGTGTGAGAAAAATGTTATGCATCCTTTTTGGGAAATTTTACTCCATTTGGGAGGTTTTCAATTTTTCTACAATCAGTGAAAAAACTATAAAAGTGGGCTCGTAGGCTTTGAGCGAAAATCCTGGTTTTTAGTTTTTGGAAAACACCGACAACACGAAAGTTGTTTAAAACCTGATTTCGAATATCAGATTATGTTTATATGAAAAGTTATTCTTTTTCTAGTGAAAATGGCAATATACGACCCCACTTTTATGGTTTGTTCACTGACTTCAAAATACATGATTCTAAAATAGTTACTTTCTCATTTACGCATCGCAAATTGCAGAATAAAATTGCAGCTGTATTAAAAAGTTGTACCAATGTATATCCAAAAAAAGTTTCAGTCCGTAGCTGAATAATTGTATATATTTGGGTGTTGTAGTTAGAGAACTTCCTATGGGTATTACGAACTTAATTCTAACAATTATGTGATCACAATTAATGTATAAAAGATCCTCAATTTCTATATTTTAAAATATTCTCTTGACTTTAGTCTAGGGTCTTACAAAATGGCTGTCTGCAGCGTTTATAATAGGAATTTTTCTCAGAGTGGAATTTTCCAGTTTGCTATTAACATCAAAGTGGGCTTTTCCACTTTGTTCTAAAACGTAAAGTGAACAGAATGGGAACAGTACATTTTTTTCCAGCAGCGACTAGAAGAGAACTTTTTTATCGTCGCGAGAGTTTCGTTTTACCACTTTCGGTTAAATGGATCAAAATTAATTTCTTTACCCCTCCTTAGTATAAACAAAAAGAATATTTGGTTTCGTTTCTTGTAAAATAAAATAAAATATGTGCACATTTGTTTAGCAAAAATAAAAAAGTAAAGAAACGACTATCTTTAACTGGATAACAGCTGTCCTTAATCTTCTTCATCCTCTTCTTTTTGTTAAGTTTTATTGCTTTCTTTTTTATTTTGTTTAACCATCTTCTTCTTGATGCATATCGGCACAATCACTATAAAATCATTCTTCGACTTTCCATACTTTTCACAAAGTTTACATCCTAAACTTTCTTCACCAGTATCATTCGTTTTCTTGTACAGCCAACACACTCATTTTTCTTGGTTTTCGCGAAATTTATTCTGTTCGATCGTTCTATAAAATGCTTCGGGCATTTTTTCCCATGATGAGATATACTTATATAATCTATTGGCTCGGCTTCGAGGCGAACTAGTTGAGCTTTTATATACTTTTCTCTTAGAAGATGAGGTTACCGTTCGAACTGTTGTGATATTTGTAATATTGCTGTTATTAGTTAATGATTGTGACGCTAACCCGGGTGGTACAACGTGATTATAATCCTTAATTTGACCTTTTTCTAACTGAGATTGTTGAGATGAGGAAGATGATCGATCAATTTCAAATTTATCTAACAGACTTTGTTTGTTCTGAGACGTCTTACTGTCAGTCATTTTAGATGACTGATATAAAAACAAAACGTAACTAAAAGAAGCAATGTGAGTAGAAGATTTCTGAAGAAAAAGTAACGCTACGAAACTTTATTCCCTTGACTTTAGTCTATGGTCTTATAGTTATCTGTCTGTGTGTGCGCAAAATACGAAAAAATGGCTATCAGATATTCTATGTATAAGCGAATCACAAGAGACAACACTAGAAAATTATTTTTCACACAAGAGAAAATATTCAAAGAAATCATCTGAAATAACTACTGATGCAGAGAAGTAAACAGCTAAGCAAACATTTTCTGTAGGCCGGGGGTAGATATTGTCAGATAGCAGTCAACTGTGACAATACAAAAAAAGTGGTCTACGGGTAATAAAATTGACAGTATATAGGTAATCTAGTATAAGAAATACTTCCAACCTCCTTGGGATATGCAGAGGATGTGCAGAAAGCCTTTTAGCTTAATATTACATTAGATGGTTTTTCGGTGGAATCAGAGAAGTTCATAGCGTTTCTCATCTATACTGGTTGCGAACGCCGGCAGAAGGGAAGCATGAGCACTGTTTTGAATTCAGAAAGTTTTAGACGTCTTGAGATTTTGCTCTTTATATTTATATTAGACTATGAACCTTACACATGAAAACAGAAAAAAATCCACAAGATGTCTTAGTTAGGTCCCTAGCGAGCATCGACGGAAGGAAGGCGTGAGCATTGTGTTCGATTTAAAAGTCACCAAAGGACGTTTGCTTGCGCGGATCAAACTTAATGAAGTCAAGGGACCGCACCACAGTGGTTCAGGCGGAAATTTGAGCAAAAATCGACAAGTGAGCTTTTTTGAATTCGAACAGTAATAAATGTAGTCCTTGAAAAGCGCTATCGAATGGTATAGAATGATCGACTAGTAATGAACTCCTTCGATGAGTAAGTTAACTTACGAACATTCACAAAAAACACCGTCCAACATATGACACATCTGCAAAGATTCTTATTTCTATGTACAGACGTGCAATATCACCCTATCCAAAGCACATATTCGGAATCAGCACAACCTATTGCATCTCCTGATAATAGAAGGTACTCCTTTTGCATCTTGTACGAAACGAAAAAAAGTCTAGTAGTTTAGATTACTACGGTCCGACATGAGACAACCTCAATGCAGTGACAGCGCTAAAAAGCACTAAGCCTGAACAGACCTTCTAATCACATAAAAATGTTCCTCAGCCTATCATGTATTTATGATGATCTCGTCTTTTCTCATCTTTTTTTCTAAGTCGAGTTATTGATTTTACAAAAACCCATAGGGTTTTCGAGGTAATTCGCGTTTTTCTCCCCCATAAGAGCACTTTTTCCAGAACATAAAGCCATATTCGGAATCACCGTGAAAAACTACGTCCAATGATGTACAGTTTGTTAGTTTTACAAATAAAACATTTATTGACAAAAATTCAGGGCAAGGGTCCCCCCCCTAAGGAACTTTTTGTCGAAAAAATTTTTTTTCGAATTCGACCCTTTTTACTTCTGCTAATATCTGACACATAGTAAGACCATATTATGCTAAAATAATCATTTTCTAACTCAAAAAATCAGATGTCCGCCTGCTCTATGGAAAAATGCTCACTGTGCGCGCGAGTGGAGACGAGCGTTACCATATGGTTAACCAATCGTAAATAAATCAGATATATATATTCAAATTGTTCATTCTTTTTGATCATCAAGCGTCTTATCGAAAAAGAAAACGTTGTGTGTGATGGCCAACGCTTAAATCCATCATACAATAAACTTCGCCTCAATCCAAAAACTTAAAGTTTGGCGAGATTAGGCTCAAGTGAGACTATTTAAAGTAGAGAATTTCTAAAGCTCATAAATTCAAACTAACTTGGAAACCTATATTTTGATCCTTTCTCACATAATGTCGTTGTTCAATTCTTTTCCAAATTTATTTTTCACTTTCTGAACGACTTTCTGTCCAAGCTCGATTAGAAATTTTGCTTCTCTTTTTCTTTCCCGGACATCCTGCAAAGATGATCCCTAAACACCATATTCTCATTAAATCGCTCGTACTAAATCAAAACGATTTAGTAAAATACGAACGAAAAAAAAATAATTCTATTTATATTTCAAACATATAATATGTTGAAAATACCAAACTGAGATTTTATTCTTAGAAAAAACCTTTTTTGGTACTGTAAAATACCGATGCTGGAAAAAATTTTAAAAACTCGCATCGATGCGCATCGAGGCCCGGCAAAAAAGATTGTCCACTTCTACAGATTATCGGAGATGAGTATGATTTTAAAAAAGATGCTGAATATATGTTTAAAAAAAGTTGACATTTTCGAAGGAAAAGCATTAAAAATGCCCGCCCTGCTTTCACCCCAAATAGGTAAAAAGTTGTGCTCTAGCCGAATATCATATTTTTGCATTCTTTTATTTATGAGACGCTTCTGGAAAAATAGGGAGGAACATTACTCACGTTAGTTTCTCTTCAAATAGCAGGCAGTATTTCAGATTTTCCAGCACGATTTCTTTAATTTCAGCGCGATCTCATACATTTTCAGACCACTTCTAAGTTCGTTTCGAAGAGGAGATCTTTTTTTTCAATTTTTTTTCTAAGTTTTCAGCGTAATTTAATCGATTCTCAATGTTCAGAAAGAAAGACAGACTCGAAATACATGAGAACTTCGCGCAGCTCTCTCAAAAGTTCTCAAAACAAAAAGGTATTTGTACAATGCGAATCCCCGAGAATTAGATCCAACGACGAATTAATACCATAAATTTTGCCAATAGTTTGTAAATGCATCTATTTGCTTAATTTATTGCTAAAAGTCATCTGTTGATGAAAACAGGCGTAAAAACTAAGTGTAAAAATACCTGGGTTAAAAATGATAGGAAAGAATCGGTATCCTGAAAACAAAGAAAGGCTTTTGAAACGCAGAAAAACCAATTTGGTATCCTGTAATATCATTTTCAGTATTTAAAATACCATTCTGGATATTTTGAAAAAATTATCTGTATCTTACAGAACTTCAAGAATGAAAATACCCTTTTGGCATCTTACAAAACCAACTTTGGTATTTCGTAAAAACGATATTTTATTTGGATAACAGACATCATTTTGGTACTTTGGGATACCAATTACTCGTAACCTACTAAATCCTTTTTGGTATCCTAATGGAAATGAAATATGATTTAAGAGTATTTTCAAAGGTGAAATACCCTTTTTCAAAGGAAAAACTCTTTGGTTTCTTAGAGTACCGTTTAGCAGCAGTCGGGATACCAATTCTGCTTTTTCCATCTCATACAAAACCAAAGTCAGTTTCGTGGACAGGACGAAATATCCGTTTGGTTTTTTAAAATACGTTTTGTTTTAGAGAGTACTGAGCTAAACTTGACTGTTAATATTTCTATAAAGTATGACAATTAAAGAGAAACAACGGAAAAGAAACGAATAAATCCTTTAAAATATACTAAATGCATGCAACAAAAATCGCGGTTTTATAGGTTTTCAATGATGAGTGTTCCGAATTTTTACAGTATTTTTGGATCTAATCTACGTTAATAAAATCAGATTTCGAGTTCTTTCTAACTGTTTTATAGAATTTTTTTAAGGGCAAAAAAAGGTAGATTCTCAGAAATGCACCTTCGTAAGGCTTTTTTCTCCTTTGAAATCTTTCCGAATTATTTCTAAGGAAAGACTTTGGAACTGAGCCGATTTTCAATATATAACAAACTGATAAATGCGTTTACCTTTGATTTCTAATCTTCAGAACTTCGAAGAAGTAAAACTTCAGCTGCCTCGTTTAACCACCTACTCACAGCTTATTTACAGCCAGTTAACTGGCTTTTTCTTTAAAAAACAAAAATATAGCGAGCCCATGACCGCTCACTACCACAGAAAATTAATGGTCTATAAACTGTCAGTTTACAAACTGTTAATTGTCTAAAAGCCATCTAAAAACTGTCTGATTTATTGGCCGTTTTTAGGTCTTAAGAAACTACTGTGCAAAAATAGCCAGTAAACGATAAGGCCAAAAAACTAACTATCTCTAAATGGGCCGTTAACCACACAGTTAACTAGCTGTTTTTTGACTTTTCCGTTTACTGGCAGTTATTAGACGGTATTTTTGCAGACCTAAAAACGGCCAATAAACTAGACAGTTTTTAGGTGGTTTTTAGACAGTTAACAGGTTGTCAACTGGCAGTTAATGAGCAGTTTATTGTCCATCTTTTTTCTCCTGGGTCCTGAACGTTGTGCTATATACTTTTTTTTACACAAAAAAAAAGAAAAAGTGAGATGATGATTCTCTTTTATTTTCGCACTCGGGGACAGCTACTATGTGTGTCTTTTAGCCAAATCCTCATTCAATTGTGTGAAACTCAATCCAAAGCGTGAAAAAGCTATTTCTCAAATTCTTTCAGTCACAGGTGAAGATTCAATATCTATACTTTGTACGAGTGTGGGACAAATAAATTCCATTTTAATACTAAGTTAGTGAACGTCGGCTTTCTGTAAATGGTTGTAGAAAAAAGCTTTAATTCAGATGATGGTGGTAGTGGTGGTATTCGAGTGATTAGAATATCAAGGAAAGAGAGAGAACAATCGTTTTCAATTTCAGGTGTAAAATTGTATCGGTAATCAAAACTGTTTAAAATATCCAATAATTTGTTCATATTGGTATCCTTTTGAAGTAGTACGTAACAATGGTCGTTAATCATTTATTAATAAAACTACGTCAAAGTTCAAAGCTGCTGTTAATATACTGAATCTTCAAAATTTTACCCGTACAAAAGCACAACTATATATCATTGTTGGTTTGGGCAGTAGTGTCCTAGTTCCATCATTTGCGCAACTTTATTTTCCGTACGAGAGTTCTGTAGTGTCACGAGAATTTCCACACTACGATCGCACACGGATCGTCTAAATAGAAAAAATAACAAAGTCCGATTCATCTCAACAAAGGAGCATAAACGTGTGGAAATATCAATTATATTCTCAGTTCCTGTCCGAAGGCTAAAGTTCTAGTGTAGTCGGACAAGCTGGCTGTATTGAGGTAGCCCGGGCTTTGGTATTTTTTCTACTTAGATTTTTGTGCGCTCACAGCGTGAAATTCTCGTGTCGTCAGTAAGGTTCCGGAAATAGTGGAATCTGGACATCCCTCGATTTTGGACCGGCATTTGCAAATCTCTATTGAGCTAAGTTTTTTTTGTAAAAACTATGATATTGAGCTGTTTAAGACGAAATAGTTTCTATTTATATAAGTCCTGCCATTAACAAAATTCAATAGACGACATAGTTGTTGTGAATTTCTTTTATTTCTATTTTCCAGTCGAAACCGCCAAGTACACTGTAACGGATCCATTTAGATGGGATCACTAGGTCTCCTAGTGGGTCAAATTCTACTGAGCTATTTTTAGTGGGTACTCTTTTCTCAGTGGGTCACAAAAAAGGCAAGTACGGTCTTTTCTTTTTCAAATTGTGATAAAATAGAAAGAACTAAAACGTAGGACATAACAAAACAGGCCAATTTTTCCTGGGGCTGGTTTACAAGAAAACGGAATGCATCAGTCGTTGGGGAATTTAGCGAGGATCCCAGATATGCTACCCCTTTTCCTGGACAAGTCTTAGTTTTTGAGAAAGAAACGAAAAACTGTTTTTGCGTGGAAACTAGCGCTTTTTATTCTATTCTCCCATTTTTTCTCGACATATTTCTGCATATGTCTTTTCTTCTCTGATTCTGTTTCTTTTGTGTAATGTTGGGACGAACGAAAGAACGAAAAGAGAATAGCTACATATACTTTATATTAAACATTGATTTGTACAGCTATACTTTAGTGGGAATATTCATTTATTCTTTTTGTATCCCAGGAACATTTCTACACTATGAATGCATAATCCGTCAAGTTAAACAATTAAAATATCACTAACTAGACAGTATACTTTTCCACTGTCACACGATCTTTAAGTACAGAATTTGAACATTTATGCTGAGATATTTTTCAATAAAGTGCACCTCAGATTTATTAAGATGTCGAGCTGCCTATATCACCGTTGAACACACGAAAAAATCATAATTTTTGTTTGTAATTAAGTAATTCTCAATGAGTTCTGGAAAAAGGTTTTAAGGCTCTTTTTCACTATTATGACTTTCCGGCCTTCCGGCAGAAAATGAAATAAAGTAGAAATGGAACATGAAAACAAGATTAAAGTAGTAGTATATAGCACGTTATTTCTCTTTAAAGAACAAAATAAGGAAAAGTAGATTTTATATTTTTATTGACATGTTCGTTTATTTTATGTTCAAAAGAAGTTGTGCCGACTAGGATTTTATTCAATATTCTGTCCACTTCGTGAATTAAAACTAAAATAATTAGAGAGGACCCTTTTCCACTTTTTATACTAATCTGAAACACACAAGTTGTACTATGTATTGATCTAACGACATCAACACCCAACGACATCAACACCCAAACGGGGGTTAAATGCAAGTGATGAATTTATCGAAGTGAACTCAAAGCGTCGTAATCAAGGTTATATACAAAACAGACATAAAGATTTTTAGCGTTATCACAATGTCGGTTCACAAAATCAGCAATTCCAAAGAAATAATAGAATAGATAATGCAAATAACAGAAATGAACGTCTCGCATCACCAAAAACAAATAATCAGATAAATCAAAATAAATATGGGGTACCATTCGACCATCTAAAGCGAGCGGTAGTCTATAATCTGCCGTGTTTCACAGTAGATTTTGACGCCAATGATCGCCTACTGTCAGCCGTCTATGTCACAGAACAACTGTATGAACATTTTAAATCGGTTAATATTAAGTTAAAAGATAAATTCTCATTAGCACGATACGTAGGGAAACAGTTAAAATTAGGTGTGAGAAACAAGGAAGATTACTTTGAACTATGTCAGCAACGTGCATGGCCATTAGTAATTCAAGGTAAACAAATTAAGGTCACAATTCCAAAAGTCATTCCAGAACATTTTACCTTAGTAGTACGTTATATCCCTAATCAGATCAATATCGAACAAGTTAAAGACAAAGTTAAAAAGTCTGCTCAATCGGCAGATAATTTTAGAAAAATTGTCTACCACTATGAACGATCCACGACTGACTATCGATTTACTGTTAGTGATATACATGAATATAATGGACTGTTAACATTAGAACGTATAGGTGTTTTTAATCTAATACGGCCGGTAACACAATACCTTCCATCGAATAAACTGACATATTGTACGCGTTGTTGGGAACTCGGTCATATGAAACTTCAATGTCAACATCAACGTCCTAAATGTAAAGTATGCCTAGAAGAGTATAGTCCCTTTCAGTTTCTTTCGGTTTTAATTAACGAAGTTGACAGAGTATGGAATAACTTACAACTAGGGCACATTAGGTACGCACCGATTTTGGTTTCATATCGAAAAACCGACGTTTGGTTTAAACCAACACCGAAAAAACCGGACATTGTCGCATTCAAGAAATATGCATAGCTGGTAGGACACTGTTTGTACCTGTAGGAAAAAGATCAGTGAAGTCGGTGTAGGACATCTCGAGAGATCCCTCGTCAGTATCATGAAGTTTTGTGTCTCTACAGCTCTATGTAACTCGAGAAATCGTAGGACATAATACATATGATCAGACGAAGAAACATATGGCATACTCCATCCGGTCGCTTGGCCATTCAGTCGTCTGCAGGTCGTTCTGCGGCAGTGAAATTCTAATTTATTTTATTTTGTTTTATTTCGGTTCCTTTGATTGTATCGTGGATACATACATTAGCGTATGTATAGTTCCAATGTACTCGTTTTTTTAATAGCATCATTATAAGAGTAGACATTTTTCTGTTTAAAGAATAAAATCAGAAAAGAACAAATTTTATATTTTCTTTATATTTAGCTTAATACAGTTTTTGACAAACTGTATTAAGCCTGGCGTGTATTTATTTCCTTATAGATGACATTGCAAAAAAAGTGGAAGGCGCATTATTGACTTGCGTTTATTCATTTTTCTGGAGAAAATGGCTGCCATCCATATTTTATTCAGTGAGAAAAGACTTAAAACTTTTTTTTATAAATTTCATAGTGTGATACTTTAGTTCAATTTAATTTCAAAACGGGACAAGAGACGCTGCCTAAAACTAAATTCAAAAAAAGGCTGCGCTCTGTTGTAGCATCCGAAAAGTCAAATTTTTCCTTCGGTACTCCTCCCTTGGGTAGTGACGTGTGAGTAGTAGAATATTGTACATTTTATGCCTTTACATATTATCCAATTTCGAAAAGTAAGACTTCCATATGAATCCATGCGCTCTATCTCTCTATCCTTTACATCTTCTTCCCTTCTTCTTTTGGATGGGATAGTGTATTCATGGTTGATTAACAGTCAGTGTACACCGAATGCTAGATATTCTCATCGTTTTAATGCTTTGTTTATTGTTTTGCTTCTTTTCAATACTTCAGAAAAAATGCAGTGTTCATTTGCTCCGAGAATTGGAGGACTAAGGACGAATTAATCTTTCATTGTAAACATAAACATCCAGATAAAAAGGATTACTAGTGTAGTTTTCTCGGTTGTATTGATAAGTATCAATCGACACGAGCCTTAAGAAACATTCTCCCTGCAAACTACAGAAATTATTTAGCATACTAACGGGTGGACCATAATAAACGAGTCAAAATGTTTTCCTACTTTTGAGATACTTTCCTTTAATATGGAGACTTGGCTCAGGGCTCATTCGGTAGACAATTGAAAGCTCTACAACCTGGAGACGGCGAGAAAGTGTTCTAAGGAGATCTTCCGGATTTGGGGGGTTTCTGAAAACCGGTTTTTGAGAAATATTCTAGGGAAAATAATAGGCCTGAAGCCAGAACCCGCTAAATACATCCGAGTGTGGCCTACATTGTGATATAAAGCTTGAGCCATAAACATTTTCGCGTACAGAGAAAATCGAGTTATTGGGTCTCACGTTGGAACCAAGAATTCTATTTAGGCTGAGCAGTTTTAAAATCCATGAAGGGGCGAAAAAGATAGGCCGTGTTTCGTAGTATAAATCTATATTAAAAGATAGTTTTTAAAGCTGGTTTGCATAGGTGAAAATAACTCTAAACGTAGTGAGAATGATCGATTTCTGGTGCTAGCTCTTGCGCTTTCTATAACCCGAGCGAAGCAGTTTCAAGTGACACTATTTAAACATTGAACTTTTTAGTAAAATCTCTTATTTCTGTATCTTTTAAAAGGTAAGCAAAAATGAGAAGAACATGTCTGGGAAGTTCAGACGAGTCACCATATATGTAAGTCGACATGGGCAGCAAAGTGATGCATAAACCAGGAGAGATCGGGATACGCATCCCATTAACGAAGCCCATAAGAGGATATCAGTAATAGGAGAAAAAGTATTAATGAAAATTCTACAAAATATATTGACGACGGAGCACATCGCAAGCATTTGAGTCTATCTACGAACTTTTTTCTACAACTTGCTTTGGAATAACCCTAAGATATTTCAAAATCTACATGAAAATATAACAAAACTGAAAGAGAGAAACTCTACTTGTGGATGTGCTAATTAGTACTAATTAACGTTAATTTAGTCTACTCTACTAGCATAAAGTCTTGTTTGTAAAATAGTAACACAACAAAAAGATTCAAGCAATACCTAATTTTTTTAACTTTAGTCTCGGTATTTTTGCTCTATTTTTAAAAGTTTAATAAAATTTTCAGATTTCTACATATAATCTCGGTTTTGATAATCAAATTAACTTTAAACAATAATACGTGGAATTCGATAATTCAATCATTATCATCGACATCACATGCATCTTATATGGAAGAACTATTTCATTCAACAATGTTTTAACACAGAACGATCAAATTATAGAAGAAAACTGGACTGAATTTTCGCTGTTAGCTGTGGAAAAACACTTACAATCAGGAAATCAGTTTCTACTCGGGGAATACTTCTCCCAATAAAGTTTGGGCTTATAAAAAGATGCAGAAGGTTCTTCTCTACAATCCAAGAGAAACTCTCACTCGTTTTCATTCAGAACTAACGAAATAAGCATGTTACGCGCAAAAGTTGGTTGGCTATCTGAAGAATCACTGAACGAAACTTTATGAAACTTGGCGCTTAAGGATTTCTCAACGTCCTCGGTCTTTTCTTCTTTAGAGAGTTTTCTCTAAAACCCTCAGAAATCGGGTTTTCTAGAAAACCGTGGTTTTGGGGCTACTTGTACTTCTGAAAACGGTTTTTAAAAATCAGTCTTAAGACATGAAACATTTTTAACGATATATTTGAATTCAGCGTCGAAAGGCGAACAGTCTAAGAAAAAAAATCAAGTCTTCAACTCAAAATTTCAGTTTTTGAGTTTAGTTTGACAGTTAAAAAATTCAACCTCTAGAAAGTCTCTTTCTAATTTCACTTTATTTTCTCTATTCTTTAAATTTAAACTTTAACACTGAACTTAACACTGAAAAGCTGTCAAAAATAACAGGGTGCGTAGAACGTAGACGCAGACTACATTCTACGCATAGATATAGATGAATAACGATTTCTCATCTTTCGTTTCCGTTTTTCTCATTTGCAGAAAGAGAAAGAAAGAGAAAAATCTGTTTTGGTCACAGAATGGAAGAAATTTTCGTTTTATATTAGGACTATAGCAAATAAGGAGATATCTCTTCTCGCACATGCACGATATTCGATCATATATCTGGCAAATATCTCTTTTCTGTTCTCTTTCTTCCTTTAACGTCACTTGCTGATCGACTTTCTTGTCTTATTCCCGGCAAGATTCAGATTCCCTGTTTCTTTTTTATTTTGTTGTCTTATTAGGCTACATAAAGATATGACGTATGTGTTATCCTTTTCTTTTTTTTCGGCTCTAGAGTAGGGTGGGGTAATTAGAACAGTATTTTTTTAAATCATCGTATTTTCGTTCCCTCTCAGTTAGCTTAAGGAATTTTTTGGTAGTTCCCTGGCAAGAATTGTAGAGGAGATATTTTCCTGTCGAATGGTCGTTTCCATTTTTCTAAATTCCATTTCCTTCAGGATCAGGAGCAGATCTGCGGTTGACTGGTTTCGACTGTTCTAATTCTCCGCATGTGGGGAATTAGAACAGTACGTGTAAATGGGTGGGGTAATTAGAACAGTACGTGTAAATGGGTGGGGTAATTAGAACAGTCCGTGCTAAATACACGGGGTTTTTTAATAAAAGTAATTTGAATTTTATATTTTTATTTTAAATTATTTTTGCACACATCCTTAGTATGATATGTAGAGGGTATTCAGCTCTATCGCCCGATATGGATTAGATCGCAAACGGACAATGTTTGACGGAGCTGGCTCTATTCAAAAAGCAACTGGTAAAATTTTTTTGTGTTCCAATTCCCGGCATGTGGGGAATTAGAACAGTGCGTGCAAAATATACGGGATTTACCTATAAAAGTGTTTCTCATTTTCTATTCGTATTTTAAGTTATAATTAGATGATTCCTTAGCATAAATTATGCACAATTATC